ACCAATTTGAGTCCAGGCTGCTCCAATCCAGCCCCCTGCTAAAACGCCTGGGAAAGCAGCAGAGGCTGGCCCAAGTCCTTGGAACCCTCAACCCACATGGGAGATACAGAAGAAGCTCCTGGCTCCAGATTGGCTCAGCTCTAGCTGTTGCAGTTATTTGGGGAGTGGAAGACCTTTCTGTCTCTACCTCTCTCTCTCTGTACTGTAACTGTCTTTCAAATAAATAAAATAAGCCTATAAAAATTTTAAAAATGAAACAGAGTACTGAACACAAGTTAATGAGTATTATCTGGAGGCCAGTGCTGTGGCATAGTGGGCAAAGCTACCACCTGCAACACTAGCATCCCATATGGGCAGCGGTTCAGGTCCCAGCTGCTCTACTTCTGATCCAGCTACCTGCTAATGTACCTGGGAAACCAGTAAAGGCTGGCCTAAGTGCTTGGGTCTGCAACCATACCCACATGAGAGACCCAGAAGCAGCTCCTGGCTCAGCTGTTGCAGCCATTTGGGGAGTGAAACAGTGGATGAAGGTATCTCTCTCTCTCTTTCTCTCTCTTTATGTCTCTTCCTCTCTCTGTAACTCTGCCTTTCAAATAAATACATTTTTTTAAAATGTTAACTTGCAGGAAGATCAGCTGAGATTTTTTTACATGACTTTGAAAAATGCCAAGGAAGACAGAATTTTGGATTTAAAGTGAAACAGTGAGGGCCGGTACTATGGCGCAGTGGGCTAAGCCGCTGCCTGCGGCACTGGCATCCCAATCCGCAGTGAACCAGCGGATGGAAGACCTTTCTCTCTGTGTCTCCCTCTGTAACTCTGCCTTCCAAATAAATTTTTTTAAAAAAGAAAGAAAAAAGAAAAAACTGAATCACTATCAGAAGCCAGGCGTAGGGGGCCGGCATGGGGTAGCACATTAAACCACCACTTATGACACCATCAACCCTCATCAGATTGTCAGTGTCAATTTCCTATGAGTGTACCTAGTAAGGCAGCAGAATAACGGTCCAAATATTTGGGGCCCTGCCACCCCTGTGGGAGACCCAGATGAAGTTTGTAACTCCTGACTTTGACCTGGGCCAGCCCTGCAAATTGGGGAATTTGGAGCATTTGGGGAATGAACCACCAAATCAAAGATCTCTCTCCCCAGAGGAGAGGGTGTTGCTCACCCTCCCCCCTTGTCTCTCTGCTTTTCAAATAACTCTTTAAATAAGATAAAAATGAAGCCAGAAGAGACTAGGAGACATGATAATTAAATGCAGTGTGGAATGCTAGATTGGATCCTGGATAAGAAAAAGGACATCAGGGACCTGCACTGTGGCATAATGGGTTAACGCCCTGGCCTGAAGCACCGGCATTCCTTATGGGCAGTGGTTGGAGAGCCGGCTGCTCCACTCCCTATCCAGCTCTTTGCTATGGCCTGGGAAAGCAGTGGAGGATGGCCCAAGTCCTTGGGCCCCTGCACCCCGGTGGGAGACGCGGAGGAAGCTCCTGGCTCCTGGCTCCGGATCGGCACAGCTCTGGCCATTGCAGCCAATTAGGGAGTGAACCATCAGGTGGAAGACCTCTCTCTCTCACTTTCTCTCTCTCTCTCTCCCCTCTTTTTGTGTAACTCTTTCAAATAAATAAATAAATCATAAAAAAGGACATTAGAGGAAAAATTGGTGAAATCTGAGTAACACTTGGTATTTATAGTAATGCGACAATCACAACATTCAGACTTTTGTGTGTAATATATTTAATATGGTAATGTTAATAAGAATGCAGCAGGGTTGATATCTGTTTCCACAAATGTACCATGGAAATTTAAGATACTATAATTAGGAGAAACTGGGTAAAGGCTATAGAGGAACTCATATACAGGAAATATTGGCGATTCTATAATTTTCAAATTATATTCTGTAATTCTAAAATTATTCCAAAAATTTTTTTATTTAAAAAACATCACCAGGAAGAAGCCCTAGAAGTCTGTACTTTTTAAAAGTTCAAAACATGGGGGCCAACGCTGTGGCACAGGAGGTTAAGCTACTGCCTGCAGCACCAGTATTTCATAGGGGCACCAGTTCAAGTCCTGGCTCTACATTTCTGATCCAGCTCCCTGTTAATGCGCCTGAGAAAGCAGCAGAAGATGGTGAGATGTGTTTGGGACCCTACTACACCCACAAAGGAGACCTAGATCAAGCTCCTTTCTTCTAGCTTTGGCTAGCTCAGCCCCGGCCTCGCAGCCATCTGGTGAGCAACCCAATGGATAGAAGATTGCTCTCTCTCTGTTTCTCCCTCTATAGAACTGACATTCAGAATAAAACAGTAAAAATCTTAAAAAAAAAAAAAAAAGTAATCCTCAGGTGCTCAAGTACGCCTGCAAAGAAGGGTGATAATTGTTTAATCCACACATTCTAAATGTATCTTACTGTCAACAAAGTTAAATGTCAAACTTTTCTATTTACCAAAAAATTACTATATAAGACTTCAAGGACAATAACAAATGGAAAAATAAATCCACATTCTGAAAGAAAATTTACTCTTCCTGTGTTCCCTTGCAACTTTCTTAAGGGAAATCAGTATCATCCCATCCTGATCTGCATTAAATTAAGCTATTTAGATTTTACTGAGTAAGACTTGGCCCAGTACAGAAACTGGTGGTTCTGAATTAGTTTGAAAAGGGAGATTCAATACAAAAAGATCAACCAATTTCTGACAGCAACTCAATAGTGACCACAAAGTCATGGGAAACTGCGAAAAAAGCACTTGCAAAGCAAAATGCAACTCGAGTTTCTTGGAGCTCCCAGCTCCCCCGGCTTGGGACTCAGCAGATCCAAACTGGGGCCCTGCAGGTGATAGAGACGCAGGTCTGCCAAGGGTCTCGTTGGGAGCACTGGCATAGGGTCAAGAACACAGGCTTCAAGTCAGAAAATCCTATGTTAATATTTTAGCTTTGCTGATTTCCATCTACATAGCACACAGCGAACCACTCATTTAAGTCACTGAAAAATTATCCAGTATCTGTTAAGTGCTATGCACTTCAGTTTCCTAAGTCTCCATTTCTTTATCTATGCAATTGAGGGTTTTTAAGAAGCAAATGAAATAATGTACATAAAATACTCAGAACAGTACACAGAATACAGTAAACACTCAATATTACTTATTACCATTATCATTATTTTTAATAAGCTTCATTGCCTGACTGGTGGTCACCAAGATAAATTACATAAAATAAAAACAGTTTTCACTAGGGAAATGATGAAAGGTTATATTCTACTCTCAGATAACAAAACTTTACCCCAGCAGTTAGGTTTCATGTCCCTCACTATTGGTTCACAAAGAACATAGTTCCATGGTGCAGCTTAAGTATTATTAATCACAAAATGATCCCCAATTTATAGTTCATTAAGTCATCACCAAGCTGATGTTAAAGTTTGAGGCAGTTTGAGAATGGGGTGAGGATGTAGCTACCGGTAGCAAAAAAAAAAAAAAAGCAAAAAGAAAATTTTATGCTGAAGTACAGTTTATACTTTTTCCTCTTAAGTCAGTATTCATTATGGGATAAACAGGTACCTGATCCCTTATTAGCAAATCAAAGGGAAAAATATTGCATGACTAGTTGCTACTTACAAGGAAGTACAGATATCACTAGTAATGATTCAGGGATATGATTTCAAAATGACCACAGTGCTTGAAAATGGATTATTAAGAGTATCTGAAAAAGTTCATGGAAAAGTAGAATTAAGAATGTTTATTTCTAGGCAAAAATATTTAAAATCTACCCACAGGTTTTTCACAATACACATTTTTCACTAATTTTTGAAGACCCTTTGTATACGTGTTTCAAAGTTTTTTGCACCAAAATCAATTTTTAATTTGATCTGTTATAACTTTGAAGTTCTCTTATACAACAAAGAAATATAAAGAACTAAAACTAAAACAGGGCCCAGCACTGTGGTGTAGCGGGTTAAGCTGTCCCATCTGCTCCACTTCTGATCCAGCCCCCTGCTAATGTGGCTGAGAAAGCAGTAGAAAGCGGCCTAAGTCCTTGGGCCCCTGCACCCATGTGGGAGACCCAATAGAAGCTCTTGAATTCGGACTGGCCCAGCTCCCGCTACTGCATCCATTTGGGGGGTGAGTCAGCGGGTGGAAGATCTCTCTCTTTCTGCCTCTGCCTCTCTCTTACTCCACCTTTCAAGTAACATAAATAAATCTTAAAAAACAAAAACCTACCAACCAATCAAGAACACCCCAGGATTCATGAGCAATTACATACTAGGTTATATAACCCAATGAATTACATTATCAGTCATGTGAAATTAGATAATAAACATAAATCTGTTTTTTTGTTTACTCACAACAGAAATAACATCTGGATTTATAAAATGTCTCTTGGTTTAATACTGAGAAGAAAGCAGTGGCACCTGAACTTAGGCTTGCATTCAAACACTACCAATTACCAAAACCCTAACAGACCTGGTCATCCATATGTTCATCAGATATTAAGAAAAAAAGTAGTCGGCACCGCGGCTCACTAGGCTAATCCTCCGCCTTGCGGCGCCGGCACACCGGGTTCTAGTCCCGGTCGGGGCGCTGGATTGTGTCCCAGTTGCCCCTCTTCCAGGCCAGCTCTCTGCTGTTGCCCGGGAGTGCAGTGGAGGATGGCCCAAGTGCTTGGGCCCTGCACCCCATGGGAGACCAGGATAAGTACCTGGCTCCTGCCAGCGGATCAGCGTGGTGCGCTGGCCGCGGCGGCCATTGGAGGGTGAACCAACGGCAAAGGAAGACCTTTCTCTCTGTCTCTCTCACTGTCCACTCTGCCTGTCCAAAAAAAAAAAAAAAAATTCAAATCAATTAAAAAATGAAAGGATATTTATAGTTTTTCCTAACTGCTTAACCAAAAGTAGATCAGAATATATATGTAAATACAAAAAAGTTGATGAAAGAAAAAACCTCTTAGATTTCATAATTTCAATGATATTCCAGTATCTCTGAATATTTTACTTCTAGAAATACTTACCTGTAAATATAAGTAACTGGATAGTACGTTGTCAAATGAAGGGCTGAGATATACTGGTTCTGTCATTCTTATTCCTATTCCTCTGAAAAATAGGAAATCTAACATTAGTCAGTATAAATTACATAGTCTACAAACTACATTTCTAGGAACGCACCCAAGTACAAAGTCAAATATGAAATGCTCTGCTTTTTTAAAACCTCATTTATTCAACACCAAAACACTTAGAATAGTCCTGTAAATTATTTTTGAATTTTTATGTGCAGGAAAGTAGGAGGCCAACGGAACTAAATGGGATAAGGTTATATAAGCTTTTTATTTAGGCACAGAGTTTCTTCAGCAATTTGAACAGACTAAACGGCAAAAAAGACCTGATTTTATTTATTGATCATTCTAATCTTCCTGGTAGTACACTGATGAGCAGTTATTGGCCTTTCCATTTAAAAAACATTTTGTGAATGAAGCAGTTTGCAATGAATTTTATTAGATTCCTGTATGAAAAATGTTCTTACCTTTTTAAAATTTTTTATTTTTTATTTTATTTTTAAAGATTTTATTTATTGTATTTGAGAGTTAGAGTTACAATGAGAGGGAGAGACAGAGAGAAAGGTCTTCCTTCTGTTGGTTCACTCCCCAAATGGCTGCAACAGCCAGAGCTGCACCAATCCAAAGCCAGGAGCCAGGCACTTCTTCCTGGTCTCCCACGTGGGTGCAGGGGCCCAAGGACTTAGGCCATCTTCCACTGCTTTCCCAGGCCATAGCAGAGAGCAGGACTGGAAGTGGAACAGCTAGGACTAGAACCGGCGCCTATTTGGGATGCCAGCACCACAGGCAGAGAATCAACCTACCATGCCATGGCACTGGCCCCCTATTTTTTTATTTTATTTGAAAGGGAAGTGGAGACACAGAGATTTTCCATCCACTGGTTCACTCCCTACACAGCTGCAACAGCTGGGGCCAGGCCAGGCAGAAGCCAGGAACCTAGATTTCAATACAGATCTGCCACATCAGAGGCAGGACCTAAGCACTTAAGTCATCATTTGCTGCCTCACAGGATGTGCATTAACAAGAAAATGGACTGGAAGCAGAGGAACCGGAACATGAATGAGGCACTCCAATATGGGATGCTGATATCCCAAGCAGCATCTTAACCACTGTACCAAACACCTGTCCTTCCTCTCATCTTTTTACAGACTAACTGCCTGTATACTGACATAATTCTATGACTTTTTCTATCTTTGTCACATTTTATGCGTGGCAGTGGAGCTGGTCAGAGCAGGAAAAGCTAACACTCAGACTGGCCTGGGTTATGACTCATAAAGACAAACGTCACAAACTGAGAGGTGGTCAGAGACTATCAGAGTTAATAAAGAACTTACTAACACTACTAGATAAGACAAGCATGATGCATAAGGATGATCTTCAAACTGTTCGTGGAAGATGTATTTTATGAAAAAAAATTATGCATGGATTTATTTGCACCAAGATAATATTATCTTTTAATTTCATTTTCTGCAAACTTACTGAAATGCCGCCATAACAACCAGAAGAAGCAAAAAGAGAGCGAGCAGGCAAGAGCAATGATAGAGTCCTCAAACTAAATGGAGGACAACTTGATAGCTTATAGACTTATGAGTTAGTCCTGATAGAGAAAGCATCGCACACATAGTTTGTACCCCACTTAATGTTGGCAGGGTAAACATATGCTGGCCTTTGAAGTGAAATAACTTCTGTAGATAGGAGCATCCTTCAACAAGTTCACAGAAAAATGTATATTATGAAAAAGCTACAAATGGATTTCAAAAAATTGTATACCAAAATAAACTTACCTTTTAATTCCATTGTTCCATGAAGTCCCCTCATGTGAACTGCAGAGGGTATGACTATGAACTTCCCTTAGTTCAGTGTTCTAATGTTAGACTAACACTGACTACTTGTATGCCTTTCCCCATCCCCTATATTGCCTAAATCATTTGTTTGCCACTTGAACAGTTTACATCAAAGTGAAGTCTCAGTCCTACTCCAGTCAGGATCAAACCAAAAACAACTATATTCACTTCCCACTCATGGAGTTCCTGCCCCAGAGCAGAAAACGCACAAAGGGGGCCAGTGTCACGGCACTGTGGCATAAGCTGCCGAGCAGCTGCCTATGCTGCTGGCATCCTATATAGGCACCAGTTCATGCCCCAGCTGTTCCACTTCCAATCCAGCTCTCTGCTAATGTGCCTGGGAACGCAGTAGATATAGTTTACGTGCTTGAGTCCTTGCCACCTACATGGGAGTCCCTGATAGAGTTCCAGGTACTTGGCTTCATCCTGACTCAGCCTTGGCTGTTGTGGTCATTTAAGAGAATGAACCAGTGGATAGAAAATTTATTTCTCCCTCTCTTTCAAATAAACAAACTAAATATTTTTTAAAAGAATACACAAAGGGGCCAGCACCGTGGCTCACTAGGCTAACCCTCCGCCTTGCGGCGCCGGCACACCGGGTTCTAGTCCCGGTCGGGGCGCCGGATTCTGTCCCAGTTGCCCTTCTTCCAGGCCAGCTCTCTGCTGTGGCCAGGGAGTGCAGTGGAGGATGGCCCAAGTGGTTGGGCCCTGCACCTCATGGGAGACTAGGAGAAGCACCTGGCTCCTGCCTTCGGATCAGCGCGGTGCGCGGGCCGCAGCGCGCTGGCTGCGGCAGCCATTGGAGGGTGAACCAACGGCAAAGGAAGACCTTTCTCTCTGTCTCTCTCTCTCACTGTCCACTCTACCTGTCAAAAAAAAAAAAAAAAAAAATACACAAAGGAATTTTCTGAAGTATCAAGGCCTCACATTCAAATCAGTAGTTTGTTGAAAAGGGTTGTATTCTTAACTTGATCAATGTCAGCTCCCACCTGGAGTCCAGACCCATTATTGAACATTTTGAATTTCACAACCTGTTTACTCCCTTTTAACTTAATCATTTTTCTGATTTGCTGAACTCTGAAAAACACTTAAACTTTAAAATCTACATGCCTCCTTTCCTAACCCAGTTACTACCTGGTATTTTAATTCCTGGTGTGCTTGACTAACTCCTCCTAACTATGCTTACCTCCAGCACAAGTGAATACATCTACAGTATTTAATTTAAAATAGCATGACAAAGAATAACGTAAACAAATTACTATTCAGGTATGCTATATTACATGTTTCTTTTAAAACTATTTTTGTAGCCATGTATCTTCATCTATTAATTCAAAGTATAAAATCACATGTGATACAAGTCTGTTATTAAATTAATCTACTTCCATGGTCTATGAAGGATTCACCCCTCTCATAATTCAAGAAACCAATAGGTCCAACCTCACTAATTAAATGACAAGTGTACCACTAGTAGAGTTGGCTCTAAGGATTTTTAGAGAATAAGTATAACAAATTGGGCATACATGTAGTATTTCTATGTTACACAATATTATTCTTCTCAAAAAGAAACACATCACATGGTAACTGAAAAAGCTGAATTTAAAAACCAATAGTTTTTTTTTTTTGAAAGATGGCTGCCTACTATCACCATCACCCAATCATTTTCAGAACATTGTTCAACAAACATTATTTAGCTCAATAACCACATCAACTAATGTAGGAGAATGAAGAATGAACACTAACAACAAATTAAAGAATGCAATGAAAATATCAATTCCCTATCTTGGGGTCAGCGCTGTGGTGTAGTGGGTAGGGCCTTTCAAATAAATGAAATCTTAAAAAAAAAAAAAAAACTCCCTAACTGAAACCCAAAGATGAATACAGCAAAATATGCACAATCTCCTTTTTCTTAAAACCTTCTAGAAGAACTAAAATCTTTATTCTTGGCCATTTAGAAAATGTGGCTAACAGCCAGTGCCGCAGCTCACTTGGCTAATCCTCTGCTTGCAGTGTCGGCACCCTGGGTTCTAGTCCTGGTTGGGGCGCCAGATTCTGTCCCAGTTGCTCCTCTTCCAGTCCAGCTCTTTGCTGTGGCCCAGGAGTGCAATGGAGGATGGCCCAGGTCCTTGGGCCCTGCACCCGCATGGGAGACCAGGAGGAAGCACCTGGCTCCTGGCTTTGGATCAGCACAGCGCACCAGCCGTAGTGGACCTCTGGGGGAGTGAACCAATGGAAGGAAGACCTTTCTCTCTGTCTCTCTCTCTCTCACTGTCTAACTCTGCCTGTCCAAAAAAAAAAAAAAAAAAAAAGTGGCTATCTAGATTTAGGGAATTAATTCAATAGTGTTTTTTCTTCAGAAGAATTAATTTCAAACTATAAACCAAAATTGCTGTAACATGAAAAACAATTCCAACAATCAGGGATATGGTCTACTTCTAGAAGATAAATTTACAGCTTTTACCATGTCTATGTCAGCTGTCAACTTTGAATAAACAGAGCTGTCCACAGAACTCTTAAAACAGTCTTGGGGGAAAAAAAAAGAAAAGCTAAGTAAAATAAGTACCAGATTGTCCATAGACTGAATTTATTTAGAACTACTGGCAACTAGAGATGATTTTAAAACTGTAATTTGGTTTGAATAAATCCAGACATTTTTATCATAAATATTCATGTGAGTATTAACTTTCTGATAAAATTTATGAATTAAAAATGTTTTAACTTTTAATGATTTATTTGAAAGCCAGAGTAAAGGGGTGAGGGAGAAGAGACAGAGAGAAAAAGACCTTCCATTCACTGGTTCACTTCCTAAATGGCCGCAAAAGGGGGTGGTAGTGACCCATGTACTAGAATCATCATCAACCAGCTTCCCAGGTACACTGGATTGGAAGCAGAGGAGCCAGGACTGGAACTGGAACTTTGATATGGAATTCAAGTGTCTCAAATGGTAGCTGAGTCCACTGCACCAAAACACACACCCCAGAAAATGTTTTAAATTTATAATAAAGCCATAAAGTTCCCTTTTGCCAAATCAAAATATTAAAGATCTGGAGAGGTCACTTAATTTATTCCCTATCAAGATAAGCACTGTTCTTTACGCAAAAATTTTCAAATCAATAAAATTCAAAGGAGAGTAAAATATCTGACAATTAAAGAATGGCAGGTTACTTACCTAACCTCTTTAATCTGCCCACTTACTGTTTTTGACCTAAAAGCACTTTTTCAAAAAATCATGGAAATATGGATTGAACAATTTTTTTCCAGTTGAATTTATACCAAAAAATTCATATAACACAACTAGATACATTTTTATATTGCTTTCAATTTTCTATAAACACAAAAAAGGAAGTTTATTTCTCCACAGCACATGGTGACATACTTTAGTTCAGGCAGCCCATTGAAGATTTCTTTACGGCTTAGTTCAGAAATCCCATTTCCAATAAATATTTTTGTTCCATCAAATTCTTTGGCCCCTTTCTTACATTTTCCTTTAATATCAGAGTATACGGAAACAACATCTCCAGCTTTCATAACTAGACAAAGAAGAAAAACAGGTTATATCAATCTATACTTTTGCAGAAAAACAGTAAAAATTCTTTAAGCTATACTGGGGATCTTACGGACATCATGAGTGGGTATGAAGCACTTCAAAGTGGCACATTATCTCAATATAATCACTAACAGAAAATTCAACTTTTGACTTTTAAATACTCTTGAACAAAAATTTGACTGAAAATTTTTATTGAAAAATAAAATAGTCTTCAAAATATCCTATCTCACTTGGAAATCTTTAGCTGATCACAGAAAGATCTCTTCCACACAAATTATTTCCTCCAAACTTAATAACTCCTAAAGGATTTCATAGAAATTTTGAACTTGGCTCAATATTCCCAGCTCCAGGTTTCCTTCACAAGGATTCCTCAAAGATGTACACTAAAATCCCTCAAGGAAATCTTTCTAAATCCTGTAACTCTCTTGGTATTTGTTTTCTTATTATAGCAAAATTAAGGCAGAGATTTTAATAAGCATACACATTCATGTATATGCATATATTATGTATGCATATGGTTAGAACACCTTCAAACTATACTGTCTCTCTCAAGAAAAGAAAAAAAAGTAAAATACGGAATTTCATACCAGGTTCTAGATAATACTCTAACAAATGACATGAGAGCAGCCTGAGGTTTCACATCAATGAAGTGAAGAATACAAAATAAAATTGTTTCAACATCTTAAATTCTCTCTGTTCATCAGTGATCAGCACCTAAGCAAATGTCACATACATCAATATATGCAAAGAAAAAAACTGACATAGACCTTATCAGATAAAAATCCTTGCTGGCTACAGGAATGGAAAATCTAGAAAAAATCTGACAAAGGTAAATTTGAAGTATTTCTGAGAGATAATTTAATACATGTTTCTACTTGATAATACACATAAATTTTGGAGAATTTTTAAAGAAAACATACTTACATTTTGAAGCTGCCACAATTCCTGGAACATAGATGTGGGCTCCTCTTAACACTGCATTGCCACACTGTGCTCCAACAACAACTTCACACTGTTGTTTTTTTATATTCTTTCTAGGGATGTTAACACAAACTTATTTATCTATGAGACAGAGAGGCAGGAAACAAGGAGGATAGAAAGAGGGAGAGGGGAGAGAGAGACAGATACAAAGAGCTCCCATCCACTGATTCACTTCACAAATATCCACAATGGTCAGGCAAAGGCTAGGAGCTAGAAACTCAATCCAGGTGTCCCACATGGGTGACAGGTATGCAATGACATGGGCTATTACCTGCTGCCTTCCAAGGTACACATTTTCAAATGCCAGTCAGGAGCCAGGCTGGGTCTCAAACTTAGGCACTCCAAAATGTGACACAAATGAGTTAAAAACTATGCCAAACATCCAATTCAGGACAAGAGAAATTTAACAGAAAAAAATACCTCCAAAGCCTATCAACTTTTTCAGTGTTTCAATTTAAACTCTAAAAAAATTTTTTTTGAAAGAAAATTTCCAGGCTAACTCTAGTTTCCTCCACTTTGGTTGTTTTTTTTAAAGATTTTATTTATTTGAAAGGTAGAGTTACAGAGAAAGGGAGGGAACCATGCACTGGTTCACTCCCTAAACAGTCCCAACAGCAGATGCTGGTGCCCATGTGGGATGCCAGCATTGCAGACAGCAGCTTAACCCATCATGCCATAGCACTGGCCCCAAAATAACCTCTTTAGTCTACATTCTCCCAAATACATAAGAACCTGTAAAAGAGAGGCATAAAGAGAGGGGAAGTAGCTAAAAAGAAGGGCACTTGAAGAAAAGTATCAAAAGAAGTCTATCCTGGTGCTGGCATTGTGGCATAGCAGGTAAAACCACCACCCATGACGCTGGCATCCCACGTGGGTGCCAGCTGGTGTCCTGCTGTTCCACTTCCCATTCAGTTCCTTTTTAATGGCCTGAGTGCTTGGGCCCCTGCCACTCACATGGAAGACCTGGATGAAGCTCTGACTTCAGCCCAGCCCAGCCCTGGCCATTACAGCCATCTGAGCAATGAACCAGCAGGTAGAAGATCTCTCACTTTCTGTTCCTCCCACTCTCTGTAACTGACTTTCAAAATAAATAAATAAAACTTAAAGAAAAAAAAAGTACATCTGGCAGAAGGCAAGACAAAAGGGTATCAGAAATTGCCAAAACATTTAATAAGAATCACCGGGTTTTATTCTTTTTTTTTTTTTTTTTTTTTTTTGACAGGCAGAGTGGACAGTGAGAGAGAGAGACAGAGAGAAAGGTCTTCCTTTGCCGTTGGTTCACCCTCCAATGGCCGCCGCGGCCGGCGCACTGCGGCCGGCGCACCGCGCTGATCCGATGGCAGGAGCCAGGAGCCAGGTGCTTTTCCTGGTCTCCCATGGGGTGCAGGGCCCAAGCACCTGGGCCATCCTCCACTGCACTCCCTGGCCACAGCAGAGGGCTGGCCTGGAAGAGGGGCAACCGGGACAGAATCCGGCGCCCCGACCGGGACTAGAACCTGGTGTGCCGGCGCCACTAGGTGGAGGATTAGCCTAGTGAGCCGCGGCGCCGGCCATAGAATCACTGTTTTGATAATAGCATTAGGTGAAAAACAGGCATTCTATGTCTTCAAATACTAAAAAATACACAAGGGATTAAAAACAAGACAAGTCTTTCTGCCTTCTTTTGCTGACAAATCTTTTCAAATTCTTTTCAATTTCTCACATCCTATTCACTACCCAGACCATTAAAATCTGGGTATCACTTCTATCACTGAGGAAAGATTTTTATTTATCATTTTAAAAAGACCTCCTTATTGATTTTGAAAGCGTTACAGAGAAATCTTCCATCCACTGTCCACAAATGGCCACAACGATTGGTGCTGGATCAGGAGACAGAGGCTTCTTCCAGGTCTCCCATGTGGGTGCGGGGGCCCAGGAACTTGGGACATCTTCCTCTGTCTTTCCCAAGCACATTAGCAGGGAGCTGTATAGGAAGTGGAAGAGTAGGGACATGAACCAGCACCCATATAGGATCCTGGCATTGCAGGAGGCAGCTTTACTGGAGAAACACAGCACCTGTGCCCTGGGAAGACTTTTCAAAGATGAGGAAGTAGCAATATGCTCGGCCCTGAGGAAAATCCTAAGCAGAGTCTCTACTGAGCTCCTTCCCTGGTTGCCAAATTTCACATGTGTTCCTGCCACGTATTTATGAGGGAAGTGAATGTACCCCATCTTCTTCCCATGAATTCCAAATAATCAAATCTCACTGAACTCCCTTTTACACTCCCCATCCTGGTCCCACACACTGTCACTGCTCATTTTCTCTCTACTCCTCACAGGAGCTCATTCCCCCAATTTCCAATACATGCCACACACTCTACTCATTTTGTATGTTATTTCTTGACCATCTAATGATTTCAACAATCACCCAAAAAGTAACCCACAAATTCCAGCACTTAGTATTTGTAGACTCTAAAGTGGTATTTCTAATACCCTGCAAGCAACCATAGTTATCTCACAACTACCTCAAACTCAACAAGTCCTAAACAACATCAGTCATTACTCTCAAAGCCGTGGCAGGACCCCAAATCCTTTCATGATGTATTTCCAATCCTGAATGAGGTATCCCCATTATCTTCCTACATAATCGAACTAGAAGCCTCAGTGCTGTGGTCTAATGTATCATTTGGGGGCATGTGTTGTGGCACAGCAGTTAAACAGTTGCTTCAGACACCTTGGAGTGCTGGGGTTCTAGATGCCATTCTTGCAACCCAGGACCCTGCTAATGTGCACTCTTAGGCAGCAGAGGTGTTAAGTCCATGCTGCCTACCTGGGAGACCTGAATGGAATTCCAGGCACTTAGCTTCTGCCTGACCCAGCATTTAGAGAGCAAATCAGTGAGTAACAGACAGATGGATAAACACTTCTCTATGTATCTCTCTTTCAAATAAATGAAAAATATAAAATGTGTCAGCTGGCACCGTGGCTCACTTGGCTAATCCTCCACCTGTGGCACCAGCACCCCAGGGTTCTAGTCCCGGTTGGGGCGCTGGATTCTGTCCCAGTTGCTCCTCTTCCAGTCCAGCTCTCTGCTGTGGCCTGGGAGTGCAGTGGAGGATGGCCCAGGTCCTTGGGCCCTGCACCTGCATGGGAGACCAGGAGGAAGCACCTGGCTCCTGGCTTTGGATCGGCTCAGTGTGCCCGCCGTAGCAACCATTTGGGGGGTGAACCAACGGAAGGAAGACCTATCTCTCTTTGTCTAATTCTGCCTGTCAAAAAAAAAAAAATATATATATATATATATATACACACACACACACACACATATATATAAAGTGTTTCCCAAAACTTGTGTTAGAAACTTAATCCCCGGGGCTGGCACTATGGCACAGCGGGTTAATGCCCTGGCCTGAAGCGCCAGCATCCCATATGGGTGCCAGTTCTAGTCCCGGCTGCTCTGTAGCAATCCCGCTCTCTGCTCTCTGGAATGCAGTAGAAGATGGCCCAAGTCCTTGGGCCCCTGCACCCGTGTGGGAGACCCGGAAGAAGCTCCTGGCTCCTGGCTTCGGATCGGCATAGCTCCGACCGTTGCAGTCATCTGGGGAGTGAACCATCGGACAGAAGATCTCTCTCTCTCTCTCTCTCTCTCCTCTCTCCTCTCTCTGTGTTTCTCCTCTCTTTGTAGAACTCTTTCAAATAAATAAATAAATCTTTAAAAAAAAAAAAAAGAAAGAAAGAAACTTAACCCCCAAAGGAATGCATAGTGTCTTTGGGGTCATTTCAGAGCCCTCAATAATACATTAATACCATTGTAAAAAGGGCTTGCAAGTTTGCACTCTTGACCTTCCACTCTGTCATTTGAGAATGCAACAGGGAAGCCCTCATCAGGTGCCAGCACCTTGACTGTGAACTTCCCAGAAATGTGAGAAATAAATGTGTTCTTTACAAACTACTCTGTCTCAGTTACTCTGTTACAGCAGCAAAAGATACTCAGCATCATCTTAAATCCTTTCTTCCTAAGCCCTGACATTCACTGAGTTACCACCTGTCTGTAGTTCTGACAGGTCTTCTGCACTCATGCCCTGACAACATACATCATCTGTTGACCCGATTATTCAAAAAGCTTCCTGTCTTTTACCTTTCGGATCTTCTTTACTTATTTGGTATTCTTCAGTTTCACTTTCAAGTATCTAGGCATGAACCTAGTTTTACTTTTCATTTCCTAAATCTGTTATTCATCAAATCTGAAAAGTTCTCAGTCATCTTTAATTATTGTCTTTCCCTCATTATTTATTTCCTCTACATCCGGGACTCAACAGAAATATGAAGTGCCTTTGCATTCTAGTTTCCATGATTCAATTTCACTTTCATATGTCTAACTCCTTTATATTGTGGGCATTCTAGATAATTTCCTAAGAGTCATCACCCAATTCAATAATTCTTATTATTTGGGTCTAATCTACCATTTAATTTTGTGAATGAACTTTCAATACTTTATTTTTATTTCTAGAAATTATTTTTCAGTGTTACCTGTTATTTCTTTTGGGGACTTTCATGGTTTATATTTTAGTCTTCTGATTTTAGTCTCAAAAAAAAAAAAAAAATACAGGAGCAGGCATGTGGTATGCAGTAGTTAAGATGCCATTTGGACTCCAGTATACCATATCAGAGTGCCTAGGTTCCAGTCCCAACTCCACTTCCAATTCCTACTTCAGCATGCCCTGGGAGGCAGCAGATAATGGCTCAATTACATAGCTCCATGCCACCCACATGGCAGACCTAGATGAAGTCCCAGGTTCCTGGTTTCAGCCTGGCCCAACCCTGGCTGCTATGGACATTTGTGGAATGCAGTAACAGATTAAAGACCTCCGTCTCTTGTCTCTTTCAAATAAATAAAAAACAATTTTAAAAACAGGGGCCAGCACTCTGGCTTAGTGGATAAAGCCACCATTTGAAGTGCCAGTTTTTGTCCTGGCTGCTCCACTTCCAATCCAGCTCCCTGCTGATATGCCTGGGAAGATAGAATACGGCCCAAAAACTTGGGCCCTGCACCCACGTGGGAGACCCAGAGGAA